GGGCAGAGACAACCTCTCTGTCTCTGTCTCTGTGTGTCTCTGTCTCTCTCTGTCTCTGTCTCTGTGTGTCTCTGTCTCTCTCTGTCTCTGTCTCTGTGTGTCTCTGTCTCTCTCTGTCTCTGTCTCTGTGTGTCTCTGTCTCTCTCTGTCTCTGTCTCTGTGTGTCTCTGTCTCTCTCTGTCTCTGTCTCTGTGTGTCTCTGTCTCTCTCTGTCTCTGTCTCTGTGTGTCTCTGTCTCTCTCTGTCTCTGTCTCTGTGTGTCTCTGTCTCTCTCTGTCTCTGTCTCTGTGTGTCTCTGTCTCTCTCTGTCTCTGTCTCTGTGTGTCTCTGTCTCTCTCTGTCTCTGTCTCTGTGTGTCTCTGTCTCTCTCTGTCTCTGTCTCTGTGTGTCTCTGTCTCTCTCTGTCTCTCTGTCTCTGTGTGTCTCTGTCTCTCTCTGTCTCTGTCTCTGTGTGTCTCTGTCTCTCTCTGTCTCTGTCTCTGTGTGTCTCTGTCTCTCTCTGTCTCTGTCTCTGTGTGTCTCTGTCTCTCTCTGTCTCTGTCTCTGTGTGTCTCTGTCTCTCTCTGTCTCTGTCTCTGTGTGTCTCTGTCTCTCTCTGTCTCTGTCTCTGTGTGTCTCTGTCTCTCTCTGTCTCTGTGTGTCTCTGTCTCTCTCTGTCTCTGTGTGTCTCTGTCTCTCTCTGTCTCTGTGTGTCTCTGTCTCTGTCTCTGTCTCTGTCTCTCTCTGTCTCTGTCTCTGTCTCTGTGTGTCTCTGTCTCTGTCTCTGTCTCTGTCTCTGTGTGTCTCTGTCTCTGTCTCTGTCTCTGTCTCTGTGTGTCTCTGTCTCTCTCTGTCTCTGTGTGTCTCTGTCTCTCTCTGTCTCTGTCTCTGTGTGTCTCTGTCTCTCTCTGTCTCTGTCTCTGTGTGTCTCTGTCTCTCTCTGTCTCTGTCTCTGTGTGTCTCTGTCTCTCTCTGTCTCTGTCTCTGTGTGTCTCTGTCTCTCTCTGTCTCTGTCTCTGTGTGTCTCTGTCTCTCTCTGTCTCTGTCTCTGTGTGTCTCTGTCTCTCTCTGTCTCTGTCTCTGTGTGTCTCTGTCTCTCTCTGTCTCTGTCTCTGTGTGTCTCTGTCTCTCACTCACTCTGTCCTGCTCCTGTGGAGCAGCTGCTCCCTATGACTGTGGCTCTGCCCAGGTCTGTGGTCCTGAGGATGTGCTTGGAACGGGTATGTAGGTGGAGCGCACGGGCAGGAGCCACCTGTCGGCATGGGTTCCTCCTCATGAATCTGCGGGGGCATAGATCCTGGCAGAGCCACGCAGAAAGAATTTTTAGACATAGTGAAATACCCTCGGCCATCGTGGAGGGGATGGAGAGTGGCAGAGGGTGTGGTGGACGTGAGCGAGCCATGTGCGCTGTGGCGGAGAACACGGCCGGCGTGTCTACACATGCACACAAGTGACCGTTACATGCAAACCACAGGGGCTCTGTTCAGGGTGACCCAGCTCGAATAACGTCCCTCCTCTGGAGTACAGAGAAACAGAGCAAACTGAACGAAAGATATGCTAGAGTCTTATCGTAGCGCTGATGCTACTCCCCGAGGGAAGTTGGGGTGTAAAAGCCAATGGTGCAGACACAGTGGACCACAGTGGAAAGTAAGTGGGGCACGATGGTGTGTGGGGTGCAGTAACACATCTGAGCAGGTGTGACCCTGACCCTCGCAGTCATATCCAGTGTTGTCATCCAATGGAAACACTTAAAAACTTTCCACCTACCACTCTGGTGGCCTGAGTTCAATCCCCGGCTACGGGGCAACTCACATGGCGGCGGCGCGCAGACCTCTCCTGCCTCGCCCGCTGCTCCCCTCAGCAGTGTGTTTCAGTCAGTCTGTCTGTTCTGCTTCCCACTCTGGCTCTGCTGAATCCTCTCACCACCCCTGGGCCTCAGCGCTATGTCACAGAAGAGACCCACTATTATCGAGGGTGATGCTCAAGATGATCACCAGACCCCAATTCAATAGATGGGAAAAGTGAGGCCCCTCGCAGATCAGTCCTTGCTCAACCATCATAACCAAATCTCCCCTTCCGTTGACAACTTCATCTAGAGCCTGTCGCCAACACCCTACTGCCTTCCCTTTGTGGTTGGACAGCTCAGTTTACCTTCTAAGTTTGAGACCCCGAGAGCCGCATCATGTCAGGGACGCCAGGGCAGCCACCGCTGCGGCCCCATCACGGTGGTCAGAGCTGAGCCCGGGCCATGGGGGGGCAGGGTAGGGGGAATGCCTTTCAGGTTAGATTGCTGAGATTTACACTACCCTGCTATCATTCGCACGGATGAGCCCAACGAGACACTGGAAATCTGTAACGTGCCCACAAGGACCCAAGCCAGGTTTCTCAGACCTAAAATCCATGCTTTCAACCACGGTGCCTGCCTGACACCACTGATCGTCTCATTCCCGGCATCTGTCTTCCTGTCATGGTAACAGGGACGGCGGCTTACACCGAGGAGAACTCCCCGCGTATCACAGGCATTCTGGATGCACCGTGCATGTGTCACCACGGCCCTTTACCCAGGAGGATGAGACCTTCCTGACCAGTTTACAGATGCAGAAACTGACACGAACATGGCTCCCCTACTTCCCCATGGTCCCCCTGACAGGACAGTGAAACATCAGATCTTGATCCCAGGCCTCTATGTGGAAACCCCGTACCCACAGAAATCCTGCCAGCTGTGGAAGACGGACAATGTCATACCCAACTTCTCTTCAGCCCTATCGTCAATATTCTGAGCGGGCAGGGTAAAAACTGAAGTATGAATTTTGCAGGGGTGGGAGTATATAAACCTTTCGCTACCACTGGTCCTTTCTAGCCAGGTAGGTGTCTCCTTTTAAAAGAAAGTAACAATGTCCTATGAGGTTTCAGTGTGTTGTGAAAGAAGGTTTCTGAAAGGGGTAAGAATAATACTTAGACTGACGTACTGTCGATACTGATTTTGAAGTATTCCATCCATTGGCGGATTGTGGAGTCACCCATCAGATAGATGAATTTTCCACGCAGGCATTCCTTCGTATTGATCGGAGCCAAATGACAGGAGACAGGAGTCCACGTGTCTCTCCAGACATACCCACTGGGGGCCGTGGATGCCATTCCAAATTTGCATTTCTCTTTCCTTAGGGCTGTTGTTTCTGCTAAAGAACCAGCATGATAATACCTGTTACCATCAGTATTTACGAAGAGCCTCCTGTCATTTCGAAGTATCCTCTTAACAGGGGTGAGAGTAGTGGGGAAGCCTTATGGAAGCATCCTCTCAATGGACTAGTTATTTTCCCCTCTGATACGAAAAACATGTTCCTATTTTTTTTTCTTTTCTTCTTTTCTCCCAGAAAAAAATAACACCTGGGTAAATTTAATTATTTGTTCACCTTCTTATAAAAGTAAAGTCCTCAATTCCTGTTAAGTAACAAATACTCAATTATTCCATCATTTTAGCCCATTTCTTCTGCAAATTTGTCATATTCTGTCACAGTGTCTTGAATGGGACCATCCAACTGTAAATCTTTTGAGGTAAATGAAGTATGTACGTGTATGTGTGTGTAAATGACCAGGTTGGCCTGGGACCTAGACATTCCACGTAGAGCTGTAGGCTGGACTTGAGTCCTGGAGGCCTAAGATGGAAGAGGATGAACCTGTTAGTCTCTAGTTCCTGAAGAACTGGGAATCTGAGGATGGTTACGCTGGTGAGGAGCTCTTAGCGGCCTAGAGATGGTGGTTATTCACACTGCAAGAACTACTTTAGTGTTTGAATGACTTGCTATAAGTGTACTTGTCTATCCTGGGTGAAAAAAAGTCTACCTCAAAGAACATATTTCAATAGGAACATGTTTTTCAGCGATTATTAGCAAATTGTTAATTCTGAACTTAAAGAGACCCAAAACCTCTTCCCTTCGAAATCTGGAGGGGAAAAAAAGATGATGAATTAATTTAAGTGTGTGAGTGCTACTGGAGAGGTTAAAACATATGAGTGTTGACAAAGACCAAGGAGCAAGTTGGAATAAACTAGCACCAAGGTGGCAGGGTGGCAATCTCCAGACGCTGCCTCTGGGGTGTCTAGTGATGTGGGAAGTGTTGATGATGGTGCTGTGGGAAGATTGAGGACTAGGTGTGCATTGGGAGACAATGTTGACACTGGAAGGCAGGAAATCTGTTTCCTCAGTTTTCTCTGCCCTATTCTGCTTGCTTTTTTCCCCTTCCCCCAAGTCCCTGTCCCTTCTGACCGAGAGAGCAAGTTCATGACCTCAGTTTTCTCTGCCCTGTTCTGCTTGTTTTTTTTTTTTTTTTTTTTTGCCTTCCCCAAAGTCCCTGTCCCTTCTGACCGAGAGAGGAAGTTTGTTTCCTCAGTTTTCTCTGCCCTGTTCTGCTTGCTTTTTTTGTCCTTCCCCCAATTACGTTCTGAAAGAAAGAAGTTTTCTCTGTTGTCTCTGCCCCAGTTGCCTCTGTTCTGTTCTGCATTGTCTTCATGGGGAGACAATGTTGAGACTGGAAAGCAGGGTATCTGTTTCCCAATAAGCAGATTGATGCCGAGATGATCGTCATGAAAGCAGGTGTGTGACATCCTACTTATTTCAATCATTGATTTGGTTAGGTGAGTGGCATCTTAGCCCTCCTAGATGAGTCTGTTGGACAAAGTCACCAATAGACTGATAAAGTGACTGATCCCAGCAGAAATAAGAAACCCTTTAAGTGGGTCTACTACTAACTATCACCCAATAATCACAGAACTTACCGGTGCATTTGGAGACACTAATGGTGTGGTATTTTTCCAAGATCTCTATACCCATATTTGACCTTAAAGAGACAAATACAGAAATTCATCAGTAGGTGGCCCAAAGCTCAGAGAATACAAAGCATATTACTCACTGAATGGATGTTCTCGTACTGATAACAATTACTACCATGCCCTGCCCACAGTTTCAGAACATTTAGTAAATTTCTATGCACTTGCCTAAACGTCTGGGGGTATAGATACCCAGAAAGTCTCTAAGATAATTTATTGCGATGCCGACAGAAAAGAGTAGGACTCTTTCATATTGAGATGGTTCTTAACTTGCTGTGGCTCATCTTATGATTATTCAACTTTAAAATGTTGTGAAAACCATATATGTTCTTGTGATGCTGCCAGGGCAGCCAGCTACAGCTCCCCTTCAGCACTCTTACTATAATAAACTTACTGGGAGGTAGACCCCACAATGAGTAGAAGATGTATATATACATGGTTATTTTTCACTCTGTAGTTTTAATTCTGTGTATATATTGTTATTTCAATAACAACGGTTGAATACTCTACCAGTTTAGGGACTACTGGAGATTGGCTTGTGTCCCCAAATCAAATCCCAGGTCTTTTCCCAAATGGCTCTTCAGAGAGCCCCAAAGGCGGTGTGCTCACGGACTTTCATTTGGGCCAAATTGTTAACATATTTAGCCAGGATGTTGCCAGAAATTATCATTTACCTTTCAAAGAGGTGCTTTTCTTGTTGGCTAAGATAAGACACTTCCTTGTTCTTGGAGCGCATGTGAGTGAGCATAGCACAGGACATATGCGGAGGCCTCACGCAGTAGAAGGCCTCTTGGTCCTGGGCATCCAGGTACTGACACAGCTCGGTGCTTGAGTTGAGGGTCAGGGCACATTCAGATTGGACCTGGGAGGTGCCATTCTCAAACTGGCCCACGAAGACCACCCTGTCGTAGCCTTGGTTCCTCGCCCTCCAGAGAGCTGATACCCCTTCGCTGGGGTGGATGAGCAGGAGAGACAGGGAGACCCGGCCCTCCCAGAACAAGGTGAAGCTGACCAGGTAGGTGCCGTTGTTGAAGTCCGTCACCTTTCCCGAGGCGCCGGCCTTGAGGGCGGGAGAGGACATGCGGGCCCTCAGGAAGTCCCCGCCATAGTCTTTCCTGCGCCCCAGGTGGTCCCTCGCCTCCAGCAGGACGTCCAGGCGATCGCCCCTGCAGTACGAGTCTCGGGGGTTGAGGATGGTGACTGTGCTGTGTGCGGCGCTGGTGGTGGCGTTCAGGTGGGTGAAGGGTCTGGGCGGCATCAGCCGCTCTAGTTTCTCCAGGATCCCTTTTATTCTCAGCTCAGTCTCTGTCGGTGAGACTGCTGGACCCAGGGGTGCTTCACGACACGAGGACTTCATGAAATTCCAGTGATGGAGGGAGTTGGTCAAATTGAATACACTCCATTCCTGAAAGGACAATGAATATAATGAAAACAGAGAACAGGTTTCCATTGAATGTAATGATAGTCTCGGTAGGCTAGCCAACTGCTCTCTTTCACAGAATGGTGATGGGAGGCATAAAAATTAAAATGATCGATATTTATCATTCTATATCTTTCAGGCTAAAATGATTTTCCTTAAATCTTGTAGAACTATATTTTTTACTAGTTAATCTATTTTAGATGGGCCATTTAACCCTAAAAAGACCTAGGATCATCTTCGTTAGTGTGGTGATGATAAAATATGCCTTCGTGGGCAATTGTGAAGACAACTGGAATTTTTATTTATATAAAGAAATGATTTTTAACTACATTTGAGAACAAATGTTTATTGTATCTTGAAATTAGAAGTCAGTGATTTTAAAAAAAAAAACCTTAAGAAAATGTTTACGATGCATGAAGCTTTTATATAAAATATGACCACTTATTGATATTTTCTCTACCTTAACTTCACAGTTCGCTTAAATATTCTGACATTCATTAGTATTTTTCAGATAGTTTTTGTTAACAGGAGATTTAGAAACATAGGCTTATAAAAATATATCTTATTATTAAGTATTAGAGAATGCCAAAACTCTAGAGGGTATCTAACTAGACACAGTCATGCCAATTCCCAACCATTGATAAATAATGTGAACAACTGGGGAATTTTTTACTCATTCTCTGTATACCATATCACATGATGTGAACACATTTTTTATTTTTTTATTTGCCTTTTTATTAAAGGAGCCATTAAAATTTTGATTTCTTAAAAAGTAATGTCATTGAAAAATTCTCCACTTTATATCAAAGGCCTACATAGTTTAATATTATACATACATAGTTTAATATTATACTGATTCTCATCCTTTCCGACATTTATTGCATGCAGTTTTTCTCCATCACTTCCAGTTCTATAGAAGACCATCTTTTGATATAACTCTTTGCAATTCAAGTTACTTGTTGAGAATATCAGAAATAGAAACAACGACAAAATGTGGTGAAAATTGTTAAAGGTCTTAAGACATACTCTGACTTTATTTTCTAGGAGTGTGGTGCTGATATATACCTAAACCTCCAGTGAATGAGAATTCTATCCTTACTGCATGCTTGCCACACTGGGGAGCTCCTTTTTACATCTAGTTGCCTGGGTTGGAAACCAGCGTGCAATCTTGGTTAAGTTCCTTAATAGTTCTGCGAGTCACTTTCATCATGTAAACACTGAGTGGGAAGCCTGCAGTGGTGAAAGCCAGGAAGATGGACGCCTTCTCCACTTGAACCTGAGACTAGGCAGCTGAACTTAGGTGTGGGTGAACACTATACATTTTAAAGTGGAACTAGGACCTTGTGTGGCTGGCAGTACTTTAGATGAGCAGGAAGTATGACATCCTTTTACACCTCTGTAATAAACATGCTGGAGGAAACAGCACTCACTGACTGACTAGTACAGGCTATTAAGTATAAGGATGTGCACATGACCAAGAGTTAGCAAAATTTTATGAAAGCCAACTCATTACAGAGAGAGATCAAATTCAACACAGGAAAGACATCCCGTGGAATGAATAAAAAAGGCAAAACAAACCTTTAGAACAAGCATACTTTCTAAGCTGCTGCACAATAATGTGTCTATAAATTAATCAATTAGAGATCTGGGAAAGTACAATCTTATCCTCCAATTTGCCAGTCAGTTGTATTCCTCTATACTAGCAACATGCCATTAGAAAATATATTGAAAGGACACTGTTGGGCGCCCCCTGGTGGTGCAGCGGTTGAGCACGGGGCCGCAAAGCTGCCCACAGCCTCTGCAGCGCCGGTTCGATCCCCTGCTGCCGGCGAGGGTCTCACATGGTGCGCAGACCTCTCCTGCCGCCCGCTGCTCCCCTCAGCAGTGTACTTGTTAGTCTGCCTGTTCTGCTCCCCGCTCTGGCTCTGGTGATTTCTCTCACCCTCCCACCCTTCTGACTGTACCCAGTGCTTGTATAAATAAATAAATAAATCTTAACAAAAGGACACTTTATGATAGTGACAAAAATTATAAAGTCACTAGATACATTCTTTTTTTTTTTAAGAATAAGAATATTTAGAAAAATGATCTGATGCTGAGGAAGGGAGGGTTTCTTACTACTCAAAAAGCATTAACAATATAAATAAATAACAAGGTAACTTTTCTATGTAACTGTAAAAATGTTCTGTTCTTCAAACGTCACCTTAAAAAATGTGAAAATACAAATTCAACAGAGAGAAGGTGGTTACAACAAATATACAGATCACAAAGGGAGGCTATTATGTTCATGCGTACACACACACACACATATATTATCCTCTCCCATATTGTATAGTGGCCATAAAATATATTGGTTCTCAAAGTGTATGTAAGCTGCAGTAGGGCATGTCCCTTACTACAATCTATAGCTTCAATCTGGACTTTGCCAGAACAAGAGGCAGGTTAAACAACACTTTGTGAAACACAGAAATCAAGCAGTTCCTACCTTTGTGCAGTTTTGGAAAAGTGTAAAAGTGATCCAGGAAGCTAGTATAAGCAACACCACCAACAGCTGCTTATGATTGGTCATGCTCATTGTCCTGACTAGGACCCTACAAGAAACAACACAAAAGCAAGCGCAAACAACAAAACACAAACAGCAAAGTCACCCCAAGGGCAGTACCTTGATCCTCCAGCCTCTGTTTCACTATCAGATGTGCCGTCACTAGAACAGCTATTCTAAAATAGGGCGCCACAACGGACTCAAAGAAATTTGAGCAACCAAGGGCCAAAAGGGTGCACATTTGCACATGTCTAGGGGATGTCTCCGGCCCATGTACCACCAGAAAAGTTTTTAATTCTCTTCCCTAAACACAAAGTGCAAACACAAAACATATCAGAAAATATTGGCCCAGAATCACAACATCCCAAAGTTTTTTTAATGTGACTCCATTTTCCCTGCTTCCCTACTGCAAAAATCTTTTAATATGTTCCCTTTTCTTGCCTCATCAGCCTTTCTATCACCCCTCAAGCTTGAAAAGAAATATTTTAAAACTCGGATTTCTGTTGGAAAACATTTCAGAATTTACCAATGTGTTTTCTATGTCTACAACAAAATTTCTGCCTTTGGCTAGAATTTCAATTTTTCTTTGAAAATTTTTTCATTTATATCTTTTACATCACTGTGTATTCCCCATAAAATTCCCACCACAAATTCACCCATGAACTATCACCACAGTCCCTTGTGCTCTTCTCTTCCTTGTTTTGATCCCTTTTCTGCCCCCTCAATTTTTCTTTTAAAATCAGATTGCTTGAATGATGCTTTTGTGATATTTTTTCTCCCTCAAAATTCACTCTCTCCTACAACCACCTCCTACCCAAATCCCCAGCACCTGCCCACTTTTGCAACTATTTTCATACCTTTAAAGACTGTTCAGTTCTGTACTTAGGAACAATGGTAGGGAGGTAGATGTTGAGACTTTGTTCTTCAGATGAGGGAAATGAGGAACGAGTTGTTTAAATATTAACCAAGTTCACACGACTGGTAGGTGGGAGAGGCAGGATTTGAAGCTAGATGTCCAGAGCTGCATTGGTTTTTTTATAGTTTATATATATATATATATTTTTTTTAACATCATTGTTCATTTTTTAACAATGTTTGCTTCCCTCCCCCTCAGGTGTAGTCCCCATAGAATTTCCTTCGCCAATGCACCTGTGCACCATTACGACCGTGGGTACAGTCAGAAGCACGGGAGGGTGAGAGAATTCAACAGAGCCAGAGCGGGGAATAGAATGATGAAATACACTGCTGAGGGGAGCAGTGGGCATGGCAGGAGAGGTCTGCCGCACCATGTGGGACCCTTGCCAGCGGCCGGGGATTGAACCGGTGCTGCAGAGGCTGCTGGCAGCTTCACAGCCCAGCACTCAACCGCTGTGCCACCAGGGGAGGCCCCTTCTTGTCAATTTTTGACCAAACTATGAAAAACAGGTTTGGCTGGCTGAGGATTTACACCCAAGGGAGAATGAAGAAGAAATTGTTTTAAATATTTGCCAGTAGTCTCCTTTGGAGACTGGAATCACTGGAACTCCTCCACTACCAACACCCTTGAAGTTATATGATTATATAAGTTTTACCCCCTCCCTTTTTTCCTGTGGAAGACATGAAGTAGAGCAACTTAATACAGATAATTTGGAATGAAAAGTATTCCATTTCCTAACCTTGACATACTGTTAAGGTATATCATATTTCTGCATTAGAACACTTCAGTAGGGCCTCCCCGGTGGCGCAGCGGTTGAGCGCTGGGTTGCGAAGCTGCCCGCAGCCTCTGCAGCGCTGGATCGATCCCCGGCTGCTCCCCAGACCTCTCCTGCCGCCCGCTGCTCCCCTCAGCAGTATACTTCGGTCCTTCTGCCTGCTCTGCTCCCCGCTCTGGCTCTGGTGAATTCTCTCACTCTCCGGTGCTTCTGACTGTACCCAGTGCTTGTATAAATAAATAAATAAATAAGTATGCATAAATAAATCTTTAAAAAAAAAACACTTCATTAATAACTGCTATAGTAATAACTGCTGATGAATTTTAAAATCGGTGGGTAAAACTTTAAGAAACAAAGTACTTTTATCAGTACCTTTCTTAATTTCAAAGTGAAAAATTGTAAAAGTCAAGAAAATCAACCAACAATAGGTTGCCCAAGTGATCAAGTTTAATACCACCAGTAATAAGATACATCTTTTTTTTCAAAAATGTTGTATCAAGAAGGGCATATCAAGTCTGTGATATATATGATTACAAAAATGCACATCCTCAATCTAATTTTTAGAAAGTACTGCATAGAACAAAAATGAGGGACATTCTAGAAAATAACTGATAAATGGGCTTCAGAAGTGTCTTAATCATGCAAAACAATGCAAGATTAAGTGATTTTCAGAGACAAAGTAGATATAGCAATTAAATGCAATACAGGATATTAGATTAGGTTCTGGGAAAGAGGAGGAACAGGAGAAAATGGATAAAACACAAGGAACTCTCCTGCACTGTTGGTGGGAATGCAAACTGGTCCAACCACTATGGAGAGCTGTGTGGAGATTTCTGGACCTACTAAACATAGAGCTTCCATATGATCCAGCAATTCCACTCCTAGGTATTTACCCAAAGGACACAGAAACATCAATTCCAAAGAACACCTGCACCCCTATATTTATAGCAGCACTGTTTACAATAGCTAAGCTTTGGAAACAGCCCAAATGCCCAAAAATAGATGACTGGATCAAGAAGATGTGGGACATATACACCATGGAATATTACTCAGCATTCAAAAAAGATAAACATATGCCATTTGCAGCAACATGGATGGCGCTGGAAGGGATCATGCTCAGCGAAATAAGCCAAAAAGAAAAAGAAAAATACCGGATGGTCTCACTCATAGCAGGAATCTAGAAAACTTAAATAAGGGATCAGGAAAATGAATAACTATAAGAAAGTGAAAATCAAAATCAACAAAAAACTATGAACCAGAGACACTTTTTGGGGGGTGGGGGCCGGGAGGGGAGGGATTGGGGTCAGAATGGGGCATGTGCACTTGTATGGGGGAATATAAAAATAAAATTTATAAAAAAAATAAAATAAAAAAAATAATAATAAAACAAGAAAGAAAGAAAGAAAAAAAAAACACTTCAAATGAAGACTGCAGTTCAGTTAATAGCTACTAATATACCAATGTTACTTTCTTGATTTTGAACGTTGTACAATGGTTGTACAAGACATTAGGTGAAACTTCACTATGCTACTTTGAACTTTCTTCTAATTATAACATTATGTCAAAGTAAAAGTTAAAATACATCTTTTCACAAAATGATTCACTTCACACATGTCATCTACCAATAATTTACCAAGTAGTCTGTCATGTTCACGGAGATTGATGCCACCACATCTAGCATTTCAAGCTGACATCTTTTCATACTATATTACTGGGCTCTTTATCCTGCTCTGTTTTTCACCTGTAAACATCACACTGATTATTGTTTTGTTTTGTGTATCTCGTTTGGGATGACAAGCCCAGTAGTGCCAACCCAAGACTTCTCCCATCAGTTAGAAATCCCGATGCAAGTTAAAATTACAATGAAATATTCCTATACATCATGACAATGTTTTTAAAAAAACAGAGAGTACCAAGTGCAGGCAACAATGTGGAGCACCTGAAACCCTCATACCCTGGTGATAGTGTATGCAAAGATGGTACAGACACTTGAAAACAGTTTGGCAGTTTGTTGCAATGTTTAAATAGACTTACCATGTTACCCCCCACTAAGGCTACCACCCAACAGAAATGATAAGTTATATTCATGCAAAAATCCTGTCTATGAATGCTTATAGCAGTTTTACTTACAACTGACCAAAACTGGAAATAATTCGATGGTCCTTCCATTGAGTACGAGTGGGATCCATTCCGAGTGGAATACTAATAAGCAGTGAGAAGGAACAACTGATAGTAACACAACATGTGTAACTCTGCAATGCATTTTAAAATAAGAACCTAGACCAAAAAGAAATCTATGACATATTGGAAAAGGCAAAACTACAAGGACAGGAAATATATTTAGAGGATGCTAGGGCCAGGGATAGGGACAAAGATTGACCCTAAAGGAATGTGAAAAAAGTTTTAGGTGATAGAACAGTTCTATATATTGATTGTGATAATGGTTATATTATCATCACAACTCAGAACTGTGTAATAAAAATGGTGATGTTTACTGTATATAAATTGTACCTCAACAAACTGACTTTTAAAAATAATCCTGCAGTGTCATTTTTCCTATTTGCTCGTCAGACTGCTAAACATGGAGAAAGTAGCCCCTTGAAGATACAACTTTTTTAATTTTATTTTTATATTCCCCATACAATTGCAACCCCCTTATTGTGACCGCAATCCCTCCTTTCCCCACCCTGCCCCATAGTATGTCTCTGCTTCATAGTTGTTTGTTGATTTTGATTTTCATTTTCTTATAGTTATTCTTTTTCCTGGTCCCTTATTTAAGTTTTCTAGATTCCTGCTATGAGTGAGACCATCTGGTATTTTTCTTTTTCTTTCTGGCTTGTTTCGCTGAGCATGATCCCTTCCAGCGCCATCCATGTTGCTGCAAATGGCATGTGTTTATCTTTTTTGAATGCTGAGTAATATTCCATGGTGTATATGTACCACATCTTCTTGATCCAGTCATCTATTTTTGGGCATTTGGGTTGATTCCAAAGCTTAGCTATTGTAAACAGTGCTGCTATAAACATAGGGGTGCAGGTGCTCTTTGGAATGGATGTTTCTGTGTCCTTTGGGTAAATATCTAGGAGTGGAATTGCTGGATCATATGGAAGCTCTATCTTTAGTAGGTCCAGAAATCTCCACACAGCTCTCCATAGTGGTTGGACCAATTTGCACTCCCACCAGCTGTGCAGGAGAGTTCCTTTCTCTCCACATCCTCACCAACATTTGCTGTTGCTAGATTTTTTTAATATGTGCCATTCTCACTGGTGTGAAATGGTATCTCATTGTAGTTTTGATTTGCATTTCCCCGATTACAAGTGACGTTGACATTTTTTCATATGC